ATTTACAATTCTGCAAAATGTTTAAATTTTACCAAAGTATAGTACAGTACACATTTGAAGGGTACACGGGAAAATCGGTATTGATCCATTTTTGTAAAATGTTCAGCAGAGCAAAAACAAAACACGGACTACAGTCTTTCTTCGCCAGTATATCAAGTCTTTTTTGTTTAATAACAGCGGACTAAAAGATTTTTTCACCTAATTCATTTCAAAAGTCAACACTACTCACAATCTGCTATCGAATGAGACTATAAAATGAAAATCGATAAAATTGCACTATTACCGTTTTTCCCCTGTACCCTTCATTTGTTTGAAACGGAACGATAAATATATTTTTTTTACGAGCCGAAACGCTAAAAACATTTTTGTTTCCCTGAACTAAACATATCGTTGGTCAAAAAATAACAAAAAGTTATGAATTTCATATATAATATATTATATAAATATATATAAAGTTATATACAATTGATTATATAAATATGTATAAAGTTATATACGTGTTCCTTTGCAAGGAAGAAGTTTTCTATAGTTCACAGAGTGCGTTATAATCGTTTAGCCGTTGCAGGTGTTCGTTATTTTTATCCCTCGTCGTGAACTCCAATGAAAAACTCAATCGCGCCTAAAAATTTGAAGAAAAAAGCATTTTTTTTTTTTTTTAAATTTTAATTACAATTGAAAAACTGTCGACACGGACGCCGCTCTAACGCATGGGTCGGTCGTAACCCGTTGTGAGACCTTTGAAATTATTTTCCGGTGCTCGCGAGACATGTCGGCGTCTCGGTGGGCGCAAGCGTTTTATGAAAAGGCCGTAGCGAAATGTGAAAAAATGACAGATTTTTTTTTCTTTCCTTTTCTTTTGTAATATAGGTCATTATTTTGTAAAACTGAAAGTAAAACATTTTCGTAATGTTTGGTTTAATTGTAATTTCTTGATCTATTGTTACTAAATATAATATAGTATTTTATTTGTAAAGCTAGAAGTAAAATATTTTTGTAATGTTTGGATTAATTGTAATTCCCTGAATTATTGTTACTAGACCANCATTTTCGTAATGTTTGGATTAATTGTAATTCCCTGAATTATTGTTACTAGACCAGGAAGTAAATACTTATAAACATTTTTGAAAATGATTGTATTATGAACTTGGTAAAAAAAATAAAAACAAAATATTTTAGTATATAAGACGAATAGAAATGAATTGTAAAGGAGAGAAAGGAGCACCGAAGGTAATCTCTTTTCGCGTGGTACGTTTATGACATTAAGTTTTCATTTTGTGTATTATTTATTTATTCTGTTTTAAGTGTATCTTTATTTAATATGTTTTACATTGTTTGATTGTATCTTTAATAATTACATTTGCGTTATTATTGAACATTTATTACTATAAGTTTGAACAAAAAGGTTTTTACGTATACAACACTTTTTCTTGGACGTCCCAGTTCAGTTCGCGGGCTTCTTTATAATACCGCGTAGCTTTGAAATGTTTTTTGTAAAATACCGTCTTTTAACCGAAGCGTCGTGATTTCGCGGGACGTCCGTCTAAATATTTAAAATGAAAAAGAAGCCCGTTTTCTTTAGCGTATACACACCCCGCGATAAATTTTCATTTAGACTCGGAACTCCGTTATACGACGAGTTGTAGAAAAATTTACCGACTCTCGCGCAGAACCGATTTACCGTCGGAACGTTTTTTCCGTTGCAAACAACTCGAGAGAGTGACGATTACAATCCGGCCGATACCTCTTCGTCGTCGTCGTCGGTTTCCCGTGGAAGCCGGAATACACACGAATGGAGATCGAAACGACCGGCAACGGGGAAATCGGCCCGATGATGCCGTAGGGCTGCCGGTTAGTAGTAGTAGTAGTAGTAGTAGTAGTAGTAGTAGTAGTAGTAGTAGTAGTAGTAGTAGTAGTAGTAGTAGTAGTAGTAGTAGTAGTGGAGATGGTGGTGGTGGTGTTATTAACTCGCCCGATTAGAACGAGACTCGAAATTTCGGATATTATTTTTTCAACGTGTTTTTCTTTAGCTATTGCGAAAATACAAAAATGAGTTCTGTTTAAACACGGTCGAGATAAAACCTCGAGGCGTATACGAAAATATAAATATAATGTATTATTTTTTTTTCGTAAATTTTTCATTTGTTTGGTTAGTGCGGTTTAAAGAAAAAACGCGTCACAAAAAATTCGCGCAAACATTACCGGTGTAAATATTTATTTAGCGTTAAATTTATTGTTAGCGTTATTCTTTAGCGTTAAATTCGCCGCATTCGTTTATATTTTTGTAATATTTTTTCGCGTATATATTTAGCTATAGAAATCGTTGGATATTAATTAGACATTATCGTTGGAGTTATTTCGTCCGACGACCGTTGAATATACTGCGAGTGGCGTGGACAAATCTAACCGCGATGAAATCAACATCGTTGTCGTGTTCAATCGTATTCCTCGCGGTCTGTTGTCGTTTTTCCAACGCGATCGACTGGAACCAATATCCCAACGGAGAACTGCTCAAGTCCGAACTGATATTCAGCGTTCCCCGTAACGTGGTGTTGGGCGAGATAAACGGCGGCATCATTACCGCGGAGCAATACCGCTTGGCCGCGAGAATCAGGTCGTTGAAACTGCTGTACGCGTTGGCCTGCTATTGCAGGCACACGGCTGTAAATAAAGAGCCCAGCTACACCAGAACAACGATAATCACGCCGACCCAGCGCATCATCGATTTCATGAAACATCACCAAATTGACGTTTCCGATTTGGAGGATTTGTTGAACAAGGAATTTTTGAATCCGCAATACGCCGACGCGCCAACGTATCAGATTGTCATGATTCTGTTGAATTTCGAACAAGGCGTTTACAAGCTGTTGTTCGACGACGTGAAATCATTCAATTTCACGTTTTCGGTAAAACCCTATACGAGAAATTTCAATGCCGAACTCGGGAAGACAATTAAAACCTTGACGTTTTTCGACAACTTGGCGGACGACGAAAAATCAAAAAGGTACATCCCTCTGAATATAAATATCGACTGTAAGCAAGAACCTGTAAGTTATTTTCAGGATAAAATCAACGGCGAGTACGCAATTACGCCGCTGGACGAAGAAGAAGAAGAAGAAGAAGATAAATTGACGCTTAAATTATTTATTTGATAATTTTGATTATAATTCATTTGTATATTTTGAAACTTATCGCACGGGAAATACAATTGTATTCTTAAAATATAATATGTCGTAACTTATGCATCGCGATTAATGTTATAATAAATCACACGCTGATCTATAGAGAAATTTTCGTTGGCTTTTCATTATTCTAATGTTTTCGTCATGATTGATATAATCGAAATATCTAAACGTCCCCACCTCCCACCCATACAACAGTTGTTTGACGATTAATACCAACGATTGTAAGGTAATTTTCCAATAATAAAAATTTGTTGATGAAGCAACGACAATACGTCTTTTAATGAAGAAAAAAAAACAAAAATCACTACCGCCCGTCACTGTAATGTTTTTTTTAGCTTCGATGTGAAGCTTCCGTAAAATATTCGTTCATTTATGAGAGTTGTATAAATACATTTGTTGTGAATGTATATATACACTGAGTTAACTAAATATTTGAATTTGGTTTTAAAAAAAATAGTTTTCCTCTCGAATTGCCATCGTCTTACAAACCTTTTAAGTGCGATCAGCAAATTGTAATAACAAATTATAAATGATTCACTTTAAGCTCTGATTTAATTTTAATTCAATGCAAGTAATAAATTTATCTTGTTAGTTACTCAAAATTAAGTATATAATGTAATGTATTATTATTAATTGTAGTCCTTAATATATATTTAAAATTAGCATGGTTTTAATTTCAAAAAGCTTAGATTCAAAGCTACTATTTTTAAAATATTAACATTCTGAAATATAATAAGATATGGACATATGAACTGGCTGGCATTGGAAATGTAATTAAAATTACATATTGCCTTTATTATTATTATTTTTTTTAATAATAGTTTAAATTATATTAAGTTTATTTATTATTTTTAATTAGTACAACAATCATGTTTAAAATACGTTTTGAAAACGGATATTTTAAATAGAAATGATTTTAAAAATCTAGCCTGGTGCTTGGTAAATTCAAAAAAATTATAAGAAAGTCTAAAAGACTCTAACAATATTTATATTTAATTATGATACTAACTACCGATCACATTATTTGCAATGCTGCTTATTACAATTTAATCAAAAATTATTATTTTTAGTCGAGCAAATGCTTAGAAAACATTTATGTAGGTATATTAATTATGACTATACATCATCTTATATCGATTTTACAACTGATCACTAATAATTGTTTTTCCCATTCTTACGCATAGACCACGCGGAGTAACTAAAAGTTGTTTACAATAATCAAAAGTCATTTCATCGCAATGATAGCACGTTGTCAGTCGTAAGTATCTATTTCATTTTAAAATTGATGCATAGTTTTCCCATATTATAACCAATAAAAAAAATTGTTTATTGAAATCATACAATATAATTTATAACTTTGTTTTTAATTTCGACGATGAACAATAAACTTTCATCGAAATCATATATATTACAAAATAAATTAATAACTCCAGTAAAATCAGGTTACTTAAAAATATCTTGAAACAGAAAGTTCATATTTCAGGTTAGTTGGTATTCAAATTGTAAAAACTGTTTAATAGTAAATCCGATAAGCAGATAATAAAATTAATTTATAGAATTCTATTTACTTTGTGTATTATCAAACTGGATTTATCAATAATAAAAAATCAACTTGTAATTATGCGAATTCTTTTCGAATATGTATTTTTACACTTAATATACAATCAAAAATTATAGAAAAAACTTTTCTTTCATTTCTTAAAGTCCACAACGTTCATAAAAATTCAAATAATTTTTATCGGCCTATATTGTTATCATATTGTCGCCTCCTACAACGCTTGAGGATGTTACTAACTTTTTTTTATGAGAGTTATTTAAGTTTCTAAAAGACGTATCTTTTCTGTTTTATCATATGATTTCGGAATCAATTGTTTAAGAAATACACTATTTTTGGGGGGAAGAACGGAAATAATCTGTTATACTAGAATATGTTATAATCAGAAAATAATTAGCAAGAAATTACTTTAACTCTCGTTAGTGATGGATAGATCGTATCGCAGTGCGTGCTGCCGCGACCGTGATGATAACACGCGGACACGTACTACGCCGCGTAACACACAACATCGGACCTGTTAACTCACCGACCGGAACGGCGTACGAAAAATAACGACCGACTAAATTTGCCCTCATTAGGTTTTCATAAACGAAAAAAGTAACGTTAAAAATGATGTACGTGTGTGTGTGTGTTTTTTTTTTTTTTTTTACTTGACCCGTTAATGCATATCGATTACTATTAGACAAACTCCGTCGGAATCGTTAACAACGTCTTAAGACCCATTTCCCTAAACACATACACACACACACACACACACACACATATATATATATAAATATAGGTGAGTAAATCTATTTATATAAGAAATCTTAATTTTTATCGATATCACTCGGTCATTTTTATACCCACCTCTCCTCTGTCCCGTCCAACAGTAATTGCGTAATCTATTTCCAGACGCGGGACTCTGTCGGCAGACGCATTTATAGCCCAGCCCCCGTGTACAGTATTCGCCGGCCGAAAATGCGTTTCAAAGCGTCCGCCGCGTCCGTTTGGTCGCTGTCAGTGGTCGCACTGTTTCTACGGAATTCACAGGTAGTACGGCGGATTTCATTCGTCGCTCGTATACCAAACTGTTAAGAAATTAATCGACCGCGTTTTTATATTCACATAGGACTGTCGGGCTCTGCCGAGGGGCACCAGGGTGGCCGTGCGGTTCGACAGAGTGGAATGGGCCGTCGACAGCGAGTTCGGGCGGACCGACGAGGTGTACGTCACTCAGTACAACGGCACCGATTTCGCCAACGTGGCACTGACGTTCGATTTCGATTTTCTTATGACCAGGGTGAGGAGATGAGCATAGTCGTCGCCATGTTCTCTATAATGATTTTTGCACCCATTTCAGGCGACCGTGGAGGTGATAAGGTGCAAGGAGCACTACTTAGATTGCGCCAACTATAGGAGTTTCGAGTTGACGCGGTTTTGTGGAAACGAAAATGCCGTGCTGCTGTTCTTCCGAATAGGATACGTTAAACGTGAGGTGTTATGCACAGTCAAATAAGTAAGACGCCCTCTATTTTACCACACACGCACTCTCTCTCTCTCGTCCACGACTATCGTTTAAAAAAGTATAATCGAGTAAAATGTATATTGATTTCGTTTTCCTTAAATTTCAATCACCCTTTGTCGATGATTAGCTGCACTCATTAATCGATGATAATTTCCAGATTAACCGTTTATCGTGTGCGCGCACGTTTAATTTGCAGGGATCTTACGCGTTCAAAAACGCAACCGTAAACACGGATACCGTAGTGTTATCGTTTGCGCTGTCGTTGGACAAGTGGTGGGAAAAATCGTGGATGTGGAACGTCGTTTTCTTCTCCGAAGACGAATCGTCGCCGGCGGTAATGCGGTTAAGCGGACAGCTCCGGTACCTGCTGTTTAGGACCGGCCGAAGGCTCAGGCAGTGACCCCCACTTGACCGTACCCTATTATTGTCACTATTATTATTTATTATTGTTTTCGATTAATACACTATAATTTATCTTTGTCATTTTTCATCAAAACGCTTTGATTTATCATTATCGTTTTTCATCGATACACCCGTAATTTATCATTGTTGTTTTTCAATTCGCCATTGGTAATATTTTTTTTATCCGCGTAAGCAATTATTTTAAATATCATTAGACAAAAAAAAATGTTTACAATGAATGAATAAATATATTAAAAAATAAATAAAAATTATTCTTCGATTACATTTTATTTATATTATATTAATGTAATATGATATATATATATATATATATATATATATATATGTATGTAAGACAATATACAATAATGTATCGTATACAATATAATGCAATGTATCACGTATTATAGTGTACCGTATATTATAATGCAATATAATATAATACATTGTATATAGAACGCGGCATTTGTCGTAGCGGTGACATCGTTTCGGCAACGGAAACCCGTCTGTTTGTTACCCCTACACGTCAACCGACACCTTATAACCATCCAAAACGGACTACCGACGTACCGACGACAAGTACAAATTTGATACCATCGACATCGACCGCTACTGCAAGTGCCAAGTCTAGTTCCGGCTCTACCACGTCGTCAGTTCAATCTTTTGTTGGAATGACATATAAGGACAAAAAGAGACAACGCGTGGTGGATTACCGGAGTCAGAAAAGACAGGAATTACAACGACTCACCAAGGAAATAAAGTTATAGTCTACCTCTGGTTCACAACAGCACCGTTTGATTAAGACGACAGAGATCCATAACACGGCCGCCGGGGATTGACGGGCGGTTATAGAAAGTGTACCGGAAATCATGTGAAAAAAAGAGGATGGTACGGGATTAGACCCCGCGACCCAAGGCGTCGTATAGACAAACCATACCACTAGACCACCGTGCACTTATGATTCAGATCCCGATACAATTTCATCTAGGTTGATAACGTGATGTGCAGCTGAGGGAAACACGGTACCGTATCATCCAGGTAGAGACACCACCAACCCCCATGCCAAAGACCGTTCCGCCTTCAGAAGTAACCATTGAGATCACAGAGGAGGCACCAATGGAAATCGAGGTCCCGGCAGGAGTGCTCATGCAAACTCTCGACTGTCTCAATGAAGATATTGAGACTTTCCTCAATCAACCACTACCATCTTCTTCCTAGACCATTCCTTGCTGTTCCTTTCCCAATTCTATCTCCTCTGAGAGAGTCACCCGCTATTCTTAGAGGAAGGCGATGTGAACATCTCAGGAAGCCCGTTTTGCCGAAAGGGACATAGCGATTCTATAAAGGAGAGGATATAGAAGAAGTAAAGAAAAAAAATTAAGACTGAGATTTATTTCACCGGTTGCACAGCTTAGGGAGGGAGAGTTGACACGGCCCGTAATAGCGCACTATTCATTTACAGTGAATTAGCACGTTATCCGGTCGTGATTATCAGCTGTACACCGTAGCACTCGTTTGTGATGACGATAACACTATGATCGTCTTATCCGGCGGTTGGTAGATAAGACAGGTCAGGGGGTGTAGTATTTTAATAACATTATTATACTTGAAGTGAAATAAACTGACTGAACAGTCAAATTAAACACGGTTACGATTTTATTATTTATTATTAACGTTGCAAAATCGTGTCAACGACCGTAGGTATTATAAAAGACTGCGGCGTCTCATCAGCCATAAATATTGGCGAAACCTCCCGTGTTATTGTTGTTGTTATCATATTTCAGAAGACGTTAGGAGTTGGAATATGGAATTTGGTGACGAAGGATGTGCTCAAGAGACTGATGAATTATCTCTACTCGTGTTCAAAGAATATGAATAAAAACACTGGAAGAAACAAAAGTTAAATAACTACATTAATAATAATTGTAATAAATAAATTTACAAATGTAATAAAAATGTACAATAATGTAAACAAATTTAAGTTTAATAATTAAATGTAAAACAATTGTGAAACATAAATAACTAAAAATTATAACTTAATTATGTATAACAGTAATTGTTTTAAATTAGATAATAAAGAATATTATACTTATATTTAATTTTTTATTTCATAAATTAAACCACATTGTGTACTTCACTAGTCATAGCGATATACTCGAAAATCTTATATCCTCTACGTTTATATAAGGAATTTTCCACATTACTTTCGAAATTTTTATTTTACCATTCGCTCGCTTACACTTTAATGTGTTAATATCCACGCTGGATCTATGCAATATTAATCCTTATCGGGAATTTATTATTATTTTACGATGATCTTCCGAAAATCCCATAATAACTTTGAGAGGTATGCACACTTCGAGTTTTTCTCTAAATTCACCGCTTTCATTCCATCCGGCATTCTGATATCGGTAAATATTTACCGTATGAAAAGACGCATAACCTTTTATACATGTTGTAATACCAGGATTTCTTAATTTATTAATTTCAACAAAGTTAATTCATAACGAATTTCATCAAATAGGAACTTAATGCCATTGTTTATGGATTTTATAGAAACTTGTCCATTACCTGTTTTTATATTTCTTTCAACTTTACCTTCGATGTGTAACAAAGATTCGCCGAGGAGAGTATACAAATCTTGATAATGTACCGCAATTCGTATTTCGTCGTTATTCGACAGCGCATTACTAGAAAATGGTTGATACGAATGGTATTCTAATTTTGTTATACTTTCTTCGAAATAAGATTTTTCGTGTATATTCATAATGTCTTCCATTACGATTAACAAGTGTATAACCAAGATTCAAAAGAGTAGTCAAGCTTTCCCTTGTTAACTCTGGAAGTTTTGAAATTGAACTGTTGTCAACTTCATGAAAACATCTCTTTTTAACATTATATTGTATACCCATATTGAATATGAATACGAACTGTTACACTTTCTCCTCTTAAATCGATAAGCTCTTCGTTCTTATCTTTACTTTCAAATTTTACGTTGTCTATTTGATTGGTCAACACGGAATAGTATATAAGATTATTAGGTGATTCTACAATCTTATAGCTGGGTGACAACAAGGGATAAAACTGATGAATAGAACACGTCTCGCGTCCGTTTGACAAATACTCCATGTACAATATCACACTCTATTCTTATACACGATAGTGGTTCAATATTAGCCATTATGATTCATATGCGACACCACCTACAAATATTTTTGTATTGAATCCCAACAACTCTCTTATGCTATTTTTTGCTGTAAAATCTACTGTTTTATCGCAAAACATTTCCGATTTCAATATGTTCACATTGGATTTCAAGTTGAAAATAATATTATGTTTTTTCAATTCATCTGAGAGATATTTATCTATATCATCTAATTCGTACGATCCTATTGGTATTGTTAAATCAATAACGGATTCATTACCGGATGCTGAATTTTCAAGGTAACCGTTATAGATTAAAACACAAAAATATTATTTTTTTCATTAACATTTGGTTTAGAGTTACACGCTTGTAAACTCAAAAATTCTAATTCTGCCGTTCCATCTAATTCAATGGGTGGGAAAAAGGTACTGATCATTCTAGACTAGTTACCTTGAAATGATAATGTTAAGGAGCGTTGCATCATTCCAGTAAAAATTTCAAACACTATTATCCACATACGAACGTATTGAAATCTTGTACACGAATGTAATTAAATTTTATTCGACATCATTTTAAATAGGAGCGTAATTCTAAAGGTGGCGGTAAGTTGCCAAACGAGTCAAAATAAAAAACGGTTTTATTTTTTTTATAATATGCTTCCCAGTGCTTGCTTTCGCCCGTATCATCATCCAAATTCACGACAGCACATTCAAACGTTCGTGGTGTTTCAGGTAACTCATCTCGTAAAATATATTACGAAAATAAGACAGTTTGAATAATCTCGTATATATTATTGTATCATCGCTGTTTAGGGGGCGATCAATGAGTAGCATATGAATTAGTTTTTTTGAAATGTTTTCAAATATAATGCTGATCCTCTATTTGAGAGCATACCTCCATCGATTTTAACTGGACTTTTCGAATCCTTATTTTTTCTTACTTCATTCACCATTTTGATTATATTTGGCGATAGCACCTGTCAACGAGCCTAGAGCAGAAACACCGGTGAAAATAGGTATCAAGGGCAGCACTCCTCCAAATTTCGGTATTTTTATAGTGCAAGGAATACTAGGTTTTCGAGCAGAGTTTTTAAATGTTTTTTTAGCCGCTGGGAGTGCAATAAATAATTACTTTCTTCACATTTTTACCTTGCCATTTTCGCATCGCCTTTCGACTTGAACTAATGATAGAGTTTAAATTCCCGAGCTTATATTTCGCTTTCATAATATTGGTAGTTGTGTAAGCCGCTACTTTTTCTTCGAACGTACTATCTTAAAAATAATAATTTAAATTATATTATGTTTTTTTATTATTTTTAATTAGTACAACAATCATGTTTTGAACTAATTTTGAATAATAAAAAATAATTTCAATCATGATTGAAAATTGACGTAGAGCCGTTTATTCTCACTAATAAACAAGTAAAACACGAATATTGCACGAG